CTTAATTACACTGGATTTCATTGTCACTAGTAATCTAAGTTACCATTGCTGTCTCATGTTTGTAGTCATTGATGGTTCAATTTTTCTTGGTCAGTGTCATAAACAAAGAGATAAAACATAGACGACAACTGGTAAGTGGTTTATGACCAACTAAAAAATACAAACCTTCTCTTGTTTCTCAGCTTTCTCCCTTCTTCGTTTCTCCTCCTGGAGCTGAATAAAAAGTGAAAAAGTGAGAAAAGACTATACACACGTTTTTTTAAAAGGTCATACTATAATGAATAGTGATGTGCTTTACCACTGATTTCCTTTCCGATCTGATACCAAGTAATATTCAGGGTGGTATCGACGATACTGATCCGATACCAATACTTATTTTATTCATTGTATCTCAAATTATAGCATCATAATGATTATAGGACATCAGATTACTTGTTCTTATCACTTAATAATGCAGAGTTCATCATATAGAAATAAAAAAAACTGAAGTTGTGCTATTTGAGTAAATCGGTTTGGCTGAGATTAAAGTTATTAGATTAGATTAAATTAAATCTAACTTTATTAATCCCTCGGGAGGGTTCCTCCGGGGCTACACAGCTGAATAAACGTCAAACAGAAAATGATTAAACAGAAGAGTTTGTAACATGTCACGCCCGGGTATATTTTAGATAGCAAAGAGTAGACAGAGTAGTAGTAGGCAGAGTTTCACTCCACCGAGGGAGCCTGTGACGTACTACCCGGCTTTCTTTAGACCACGAAGGCCGGGTCCTAAGGAGGAAACAGCCTCTGAATTTGGACACCCCGCTGTTTCCGGGCCGGCCAATAATAACGGTGACATTTAACGTATTTTATCCAATAAATAAACACTGTAAAATGTATTTCCCCCCCAACAGCCCTTTTGAATGTCTCCCTAGTATGGCCACAACACCTCACTCTTGGAGCACTTTTTTGCCACATGTATCGCAAACCACGTCTCAGCTGTTTGTGGAGGTAAAATAAGTCGCACATGACTCCAATTACACTCAGCCATTGTTGTGAGTGCGCACGCCAAGCAGCTGCGAGACATTTATACAGCCATATTTCGCACATAACTATGAAAGGCGGAAGAGGAAGTAGTTCCTTTGAATGTACACTCAAAAAGAGTGGCTGGATCCAGGCAACTAACCGCTCTTACTAGATTGTATGATGTCATCTCAACAAGAACAAATTAAGTTGCTGAATTTCATGCAGATGCTACATGATTTAATTACGTTCACCATAGAAACATGGAATTATTTAGTTCAAATTACAAGTTTGGATCTTATGCATGTAACAACCACCCAATTTCATTTTGGGGGTCGACTCACGAAATTCACAAGATCACATTAGATGTCAAACCACAGGAAAATCAGTGGGGTTACAAGAGGAAGACAACCACACCACGTGTATGCTGTTACTATTTCTTATGGTTTAACTTGTCAAGAACAACAACATAAAGCATCATCAAGCATAGCTTTCCTACTTTTGTTAAGTCTGTATTGACAGATTAATGCCATGGTGGTTCGTGCTGTTGCCTCAGAGCAAGAAGATCCTGGGTTCAAATCCACAATGTGGCGAAGTTTGCAGTGGGTTCTCTCTGCGTACTCTGGTTTCCTCCACAGTTAAAAGTCATGCAGTTGTAAGGGTAACTGGTTATTCTAAATTGCCCAAAGGTGTTAAAGTGCAAATGATTGTTTGTCTCTGTATGATTGACTGGCGACCTGTCCAGGATGTACCCTGTCCCTCTTGCCCTATCACTTCCGCAGCCCAGATAAAGCTAAGAAGATGGGTGGATTGGAAGTTGCTGTAAATCCATTGATTTTTTTTGGTTGAACATTACTTAATATGAATACAACATGTACTACAGACATAAGTTACATTTCATTCATTCAACAAGATTATCATTGGTGTAACAAACAAATATTTTACTAGTTCATGTAACAAGACTGATTTTTGATGTGCCAAAGTGTTTAAACAATATAAGATGGATTTAAATAAATTTAATTAGACTAACGTGGTGCAAACATGTTGATTGAACAAAAGTCAAATTAATTGAATGTTAATGTTAATATTATGTTAAACCTACACACATATATCGTGTTGACACAACACAATCAAGATGGATTAATATAACATGATTTGTTTAGATGGAATATAAGTGGCAAGATAAAATTACGTTCATCCAATGAATTATTTTTTTGAGTGTAGACAATCCGAATGTTATAGTTTCTTTCCACTGTGTTCCTGTTAATGATAAACTACAAATTTACCCTAAATTACTAAAATATCGATATTTTAATGTGAGAATCGATTCTAGAACATAAATGACTGGTTTCGGAGGAATCAATATTTCAGGATCGAGCCGCACATCACTAATAATGAAATCACACCTCTCTTGAAGTATTTATTAATTGGGTTAACACTTAAAAAATGTGTTTCTTGTTCTTATTTCTCAACAGAAATTAGCAGGTTGGTCACATTGACGACATCATATCAGCTGCTGTGCTACCAGCCACTTCATAGAAAGTCATAGAGAGTGTGCAGTGTGCAGGTCTAACCCTACATTGGGAGGATGACATTAGGACTGGGTTTCAATTATTGATTTTCCGATTAAAATCGATTCTAGCTTGAATTAAGCGGTATTGATTCATTAAAATCCTGAATCGATTTTTAAATATATATAAATATTTAAATGTATTTTGCTTAAAGCTTTCATTTCAACAACCACCAAACAGCAAAAACAGTAAATGAGATAAGTAAACGATGAGTAAACGGATTCCACACTAAAATATAAACACAGAGGGCAGACCCGACACATCAGAATCAGTGAGATGTCGGCTTTCTCACCTGACGGCATGTACACGGACACGTCATCGGGGCTGAAAGCCGAGAGCTCACTCAATTGATGCTATAGATTTCATCACTCTCCGACCAAAATTAACTGAACCAGCAGCAAAAGAAGATCAAAATTATGCTTCACATTTGATAAACATCGTCATTAATTCCCTCTTACTTTTGCTGTTTTGCTTCCACCACAATAAAATAATGCTTCCTCTCTCTCAGTGTACTTCAAGAACAGTTTCCTATCTCAAATCTCTGTTTTCTCTGTTATTTTTTTTTTTACTTATTACGTACAAGTCTACTGTTGTTTACAGCGCTGTCAGCTGCAAAATTGCAAAATACTTGGCTGTGTCTCTGATAAAACTTTGTAACTTTGCTCATGGTTTTCTTCACTTTTTGTTCTACTGCAGAATATTTTTAAGGTTATCTGCTATAAAAAGCTTATAGCTCAGTAAGACAGTTACTTTGACACAAAGGCATCTGGTGTGATGCTCACACCTCTGATGAAGTCTCACAAGTGTGAACTTTCTGTTTACCGATATAAAAATATTGATATGTATTGACAAATGATCAGAATTCTAGTATTTCTGACTGTCTGAGGCAAAATTCCTCAGATTCAAATCAAATTGAATCGAACTGAATAGGGGATCAAATCGATTATAAAAATCAGAGAATACCAAGCCCTAGATGACAGCCAATACATATGTCCATGTTTATCTCTGTATTCTCATATTCTTAACACTGACCTTTGATTCCAATGTAAGGATCGTCTGCCTCAGCTTCCCAATCATTTCATCCTTCTCCCTCTCAGATTTGATCATCTTTCAGAAACAAAGACAGATGTTGATGTTTCTGCAGTGCTTTGTTGATAAAAGTGTCAAAATCATTGAAACTTCACACTGTGAGCAACATGTTTCCAACCACTGTGCTTCAGCGTTAATACATAAAATTAAATGTAACATATACACACCAACATACATATATCCCATTCAAAGTCTTTACACCTGATTAATCTTTTTCACAGGAGTGTCTCTGCTCTTTTCCATCAGCTGCACCATCATGTAAAGCAAATAAAACATACACATAACTTCTGCAGAATGTTGCAGACAGCAGGCTGATGCAGAGTAATTCAACAAAATAAAAGAACAAACTGCATAATTTAACTTTGCAGGAAATATGATTTCATCAGCAATTATCTGTGCTCCCCTGATCCTTTTCTCTCTTTATTCTCTCTGTACATATGCTCAAAAAGAGCAGTGCTCTTTGGATCATTAAAAAGCAGGAACAGATTTGATTCTTTAGAACCCAGCCCCAGAGAAGATAAGATTCTCCACCAGTGATGAAAAATTGTCTAGCAGATGCAGAACATGCTGGACATGTTTAAATTTGATTTATATGACAGTGACAGAAAGCTGAGTATCAAATGATGAAATGAACCTTCTGTTTTATGGAGTCCAATTCATTGCTCTTGGTGTTTATTTCACTCTCCAAGTTCTGTTTCTTCCTTTTAAGCTCACTGATCCTATCAGAAAGCTGCAATTGAGAAGGTACAAGAAGAGAGATGAGATGGAAGACATGTTCTGTGTTTTTTATATGTGAGTGATTGAATAATGCAATGACATTCAGTTTCATTCAGAAGTTGACAAACTATATATTAAATTAAGAACCTATATTTTTCTATTTCTGTACAGCACTTTGGTCAATGTTGCTGTGATAATTAAATGTGCTATATAAATAAATAAATGATAAACAATATTAAAAAAGGAAAACTGACGAAACAACTGTATTTGCATTTCATTAGAAATTCATAATTAATTAAGCTTTTTAAATAAATCAAAATGAATTTGCAAGATAAAATAAATTATCATTTTGTTCAATCTATAGAAATAGTTAGTTTTACAAAAATTTGTTATCAAGTGAACATTAATTTCCAAAGTTCCCTCCATAACTCTTTACAATACAAGAGAGTTGAGTCAGTAAATTCTGAATGTTTATAATGGAAAGACAAAAACTCCTGATTTTTGGACTCCAGCTGCTTCTACAGCTTCTCTACTGTTTTTTTTCTCCTTTTGGAGCTGATCGATGATTTCAGTATGTGAAATGTTACATGAAGAGAGACCAAAAGGAATAAATGCTCATGTTCAAGATGACACTTTATTAAAGCTATAAAAAACAATTATATACATGCATAAACATTGCCTTAATGTTATAGTAATGGTTGTAGTATTAAATGTAAAAAGATTAAACAAAAAAAAACATTAAAAATGTACCTTTAAATTCTTCTGCTATTTTATTATTATTATTATATATTATAATATATATTATATTATATAATATTTGAAAAATGTACCTCGTTGAGTTTTGCTTCTTGTTGTTGTTGTTGTTAAATGATGGGAGAGAATCACAGCTTTTCAGACACACACACACACACACACACACACACACACACATAAGAAATGACACATATGAACCTTTTCTTTATCATTCTGCAGCTCGCCAAGTTTATTTTCAGCATCCTCCCTCCTCTGTTGTTCCTCCTGGAGCTTCCGCCTTGAAGTTATTGGCAACTTCCACTGAGAGATGGCAGAGATTACAAACAAGTCTTTCACAGTTAGTCTTAGTTAATGTGGACAACATAACAGTAGTACTTTACCGTACAGCTTGGAAAGGACCAGGGATAATAATTTGATAATAAAAATAATAAACAGAAGTTGACAAAGAGCGATAATATAAGTTAGGATAAAGAGTTATCTTATCTTATGTCATTGCATAGTCTTATTTAGTACAATAGTCCAACAAAATTGGAAAAATGTCCCACATCAGCACTAAGCACAACAAATAAAATTGGGTGAATTAAAAAAATACCATATAATTACCCGAGTTATAATCAGGGTTGACTCTAACACAATACTTTGTAACACAAAGGTTTTATCTGTATATGTTGTGAAGCTATTGTTTAATATTGTGTAATGTCCAGTAAAACAAACTGAGGCATGCTGACTTTGTTCCATTCTTTGTGAAGTCTGTGTGAAAATGCTCTGCAGCTTAGGTTTGTCGTACTGTGATGGATTTCACTTAAAAAACAGTGTTTGACTCATGCACAGTGGCTCAAGTACTCATGATCAGAGTTAGATGACATCAAATGTAGCAGAGTTGAATTTGAGGATGCTTTGATTTATTCACTGAATTCCACCTTCACGCCAACCATCTATTATAAAGAAAGCATAAATAGTAAACTGTCAGTGGAAATCAGTCAAGAAGGCTTGTGAGACATCTGCTTCGTCTTGTTGAATTTAGTTTACAAAGAGTTACTCTGAGAGTAATCCTCAGAGCCGAAGTAGCCCAGATCAGCTGATCACAGCCTGTACATCTACTGGAGCTCTCAGTTGAAATTATTGTGAGCTGTGATTATTTGTCCCCATGCCGAGGCACGAACAGGTTCCTTCATGTGCTAATTTCCACTGTTATGACCAAGATCTTGTGGGTCATGTGTGTGTGTGTGTGTGTGTGTGTTTGTGTGAATCCTCCCATTGGTTGTGGGAAGAGGCTGTGGGTTTTTCCTCTTCTCTCTCTCAGGTGTGGGCATGTGTGTGTTTTAATGGAGACCAGTGCCTGCTGAGTGGATGGATTGAGTTCAATCCTGTTCCGGGATTGAATAATTGGTTGATCAATCAGTACTTAACCACCAGATGACCACCTGGCCCCTTCTCTCCTGGCCTCCACCACCCAACAAACAGCCTGTCTTTGACATTCGAAGCAAACTGGTGTATGAGTAAGTATAAGTTGATTTGTGTGTCTGGTGTCAGTAAATGCCTGCATAGCATTTTGAAAAGTTTTTGCTCTTTCTTCGGTGGTGTATGAGTGAGGGGTCACATTTTTTTGTTGTGTTCAATTTACTCCTTGGCCAAAAATGTAACATCCACTTCAATCCCTTCCCTACTTATTTTCTATTTAGAGGCAATGTCCTCTACAATGGAGGCAACAGAAAATGGAGATATACAATTTTTTATATAATTTTTCTTTCTGCTCATGTTCTACCTAGTCATTCAAGTTGGGTATATTTTGAAGTTAAAATTTATACTGAGCTTTTTATATTCCCATCTCCTATTATTATATTCTTATAAGTTAGCTCTGCAAAAAAATAGTTGGTAAAAATTTCATCCAAAAGCTATTTTCACCTTCTTACATTTCAGATCTTGTACTTTTTGCCTCTTGTAAATAAATTGTATTTTTATTGAGTATTTTTTAACACTAGTATCTGTACATCTACTTAAATACAGAATGTCTGTACTTTGCCAGCTCTGAAGCCAACACTAGGATGTAGATTTGTGTCAGTCTGTTGGATTGCACTCGTAAGGTTTATATTGTTAAATGCTAATTATTTGAAGGTGCATTTGGGGTTTTTTTCTTATGGAGGAATACAAAAGTAATATAACACATTTTCTGTTGAGTATTATTCCTGGAAGTTTTATTGTAAAATATTTGGGTTTGTTTAAAGGAGTAATGTAGCTTGTAGATGAACACTGGAATTTTAGAATTAGAGGCTGAAAGAAGAATCAACATTTTTCATGTTTCAAGTCCAGAAATATGAGGTAACATTTTGATTACTATTTAATTTCTTCTCTGGAAAACAATGAAGATGATCTTTAAACTTAACATATAATGTTCATATACTCACAAATTTATTCTGCTTCTGAGTTTTTCCTCTTGCCTTCATATTGAGTTGCTCTCTCTCACCATCTTCAGAGGAAACTTGAGCATCTTTTTGAAGTTAAAATTAAATGAGAAGGAAATGCCAAAACGTGGCTTAAAATATTAAACTGCTCAGTGAAAACACTGATGATTTGTAGAGGTAAAGAATAATTAATCAGTGACTCACTAGTCGTGTTTTGCTTCTTTCTATGGGCAAGAACAGCTGACAAAATTAACATCATGATGCATAGAGCCAAGCTAACAGCCAAACCGATGGTGACAGAGGGAGAACTGGATGGGATATCAAAGAAATCCTCTGAAATTCATAAACAAATTAAATTCCAAGAAAACTGTTATTCAAATATACAAAACAAATAGTGAAATAAATGTAATAATATAATTTAAACCTGGAACATGTATGTGTGTCTCTCTGCTCTGGTTGGTGTTCCTCTGTTGGACTCTGCAGGTGATGTTGTTGCTGTGTCTCTTCTCCACAGTCACTCTGCTGCTGACAGTATAGAGGTCATCAGGACCTCTGAGGGTCTCTGTAGGTCCAGCAGAGAGGAGGTTTCCCTCACCGTCCAACCACAGCAGCTCAGGCTCTGGATACCAGCCTGCAGACTCACACTGTAACACCACTCCTCCTCTGTTTTTGTCAATCCCTGAGAAACTGATTAGAAGTGAGGTGGCAGCATCTGATGCTGAGCAAAAAAAGCATAAAAGATATTAGTAGGTGGAAAAAAACCCATTTTGGACAGTAATTCACTAGTACAAAATTATTATTTTTGCAAAATTCTGATGCGGTTGGTGTGTTCTGTAAAGTTAATAAACAAACATTTCCGGGGTTGAAATCTTTTCTCATAAACATAAACATAATTTTTCACTGTAACTAAATATGAGCATCTCACCATTTGCTCCTCACTTACAATCCCATCAAAATCCTGTATACTGGGTGCATAATTGATCTACACCATGAACATGTGATGTGTATCTACTTACCAACCGCAAGCTTAACAAAATAATTTTTCCCCATTAAAGGAATGCTGCATTCATATGTTCCTTTATCAGAGAGTTTTACTCTGGAGAGTTTCAGTGAAATGTTTCCATGCTTCAGTTCATTGATGAACAGTGATGTTCTTCCCCTGTATGAAGGATTTCTTGTATTCACCAGATCCTGACCGGATCGCCACACATGGACAAATCTTGGGTTCAAGTCAGATCGTGTCCACTCCAATATCTGAGCTGACACATCCTCTGCAGGCTCCACGTGACATGGTAAAATAACATCATCATCAACTAATGCCACTACTGGCTGATGTGGACCAACCACCTGAGACTCTGCTGTAGACAGGAGGAGAAACAAAGAAATACAGAAAATGAGTTTATTAATTTCTGCAGGATGAGTGAATATATATGTCAAACTTAAAGATGACACTCAGAATAGAGCCTTATTTTTCTTTCTAACTTTTTTAGGTGAAGATGTTAAAAAAGTCTTTCAGAAAAAAATTAAACACATGCAGGCAGCCAGCAAATCAAAGCTGCAAATTATAAACTGCTGTTTGCACCAAATGTTCGTACTAATTGGTATTCACTGTTTTATACAGTCTCCCTGCACAAAAAAATCTGTACATTAGTGCCACGGCAATAAAAAAAGATATTACACATGTAAATTCAAACTTACCCCTATTTAAGTGTATCAGAAGTTGGAAAATCAAAATACCAAAGACTGTGCATGGAGAAAGGGAAAGTCCATCTATCTGTGGAAGCATCCTCCTCTGAAAATAGATCAGTGACACATACAAGTGTGGCCACAAGAGGTCATAGAAATAATAAGAATTTGTTAGTTTCATATTTAAAATCAAATGATTCAAGTCTAAACCCATATTTTACATTTTAACATGTTGAATACCCCCATGAGGTCATCAACATGACCTTTCACTTAATGTTAATGTTCTCCAATAGCTCCAGAGTTAAGGCAGCAGATATTTTGTTACTGATTATAGCAAACATATTACTTTATATTAGTGCTAAATTGCAGCCTGTAGAACAACTTTTGGTCAGTATCTTTAGTTTTGAGATGAACTCTGTCTGCTAATAATTGTTTTGATTGTGTAATGGGCCACAAGGAAAGCTTAGCTATCAGATAGATAGTTATATTTAAAGCAGAAGGATAAAAACATATAAATAACAAAGCTAAAATGAAAGTGCCACAGGCGCCTAGTATGACCCCTACTGTGAGAGTGCAAAAAAAAAAAGTAAAAATTTAGTTAGTTAAAAATGTGGCTGTTATCAGTACAGCTGATGAAGGAGAGATCTGATCAAAATCTGTGTTTATAGATTACAAGTTCAGAATTAGGTAACCATACCTGATGTTCTCACATGTTCTTGTTCATATCAACTAATATCCCATAATAAAAATATAAAAAAAATAATAAAAAATTATACTATTATTATTAATAGCCTTTGAATTTTCTGCACAGGAACAAACACTGGTCTCACCATAAAATCCATAAAATAGCCGTTTATGAAAAGTTGGAATTACAACTGGTAAACTACAGCCAACAGAGACAGTTTGGTGTGAGTGTAGACTGCAAAGTGAGCTCTCAGCTGCTTGACTGTGCACAGCTGTTGTAAATTAGTTACATATAAAAGATTTACAATGTTTTAATGTCTTTGGTTTTCTTTATATAAAGTAGAAAAACAGAAGAAAAAAGTACTTAGAAGAATAACTCTACACAGACATCTACAGTATACTTTCACTTTCAACACTTTCTTTTAAGCTCTCTTGTTAAATATCTGAAACCTTGATGATTCTTCACTAAAACATTTAATTACATTTACACAGATGTATTTATGTCAGTAAAATAAATTTATACTATAATGAGACTTTATAAGTAGACATCAGAAAAGCGTGTAGAACTTAAAAATACACAGTTTGAAATATACTTACCTGTGGAAAGACAGAAACTACAAGGTATCAGGAGTCTGCCTTTTCTTTGTAGTGTGGACCAAAAAGCAGTCACTCGAGGCTGGAATGAAGTTAACACAAAGTGAGCCTTTTATTCAGGTTGTATGAACAATATAAATGAAAGGCAGAAGGGGACTAAGACAAAGCTCACAATAAACTAAACTGGGAGCACTAAACATTGTTTAGTAAACACACCAGCGTTTACTAAACACTGAGATCACGGGACATGGAAAAACCTGAACATGAATACCTGGAACATGATGCACGATTAGTAAAGGGAAACTTATGGAATTATATTTATGTCATAACAAATCGTGTAATTCAACAACCAGTGCGCCAAAATTCACCACTTTTCTGACCTGTCTGGTTAACACATCATGTAAAAATCACTGTTTAATAAATCAGAACACTGTACTTAACGCCAGGGAGTGGCACCTTGAACGCCCCTTCCGAGAGGCGGAAATAATGCCGTTTTAACCAGCTTTTGAACACCGCGTTTTACGTCACACAGCTGAGTCCCGGGAAAAGCGGCGTTTTTCCGCCGATCAGTGCCAGCTGTGACGGTGTTTAAAATGCAGTTTTCTTAAAATAATGCAGGGTTCTCCCACGGTTCCTTCATCCAATTACCTTCAACTTCTGTCACCCAATCAAAAAAGAATAAGTGCCGACCACACTAATTCATTACAAATCAACCTTGCTGCCAAGTGATTGCTTATGTTAGTCTATTCCATACCAATCCTTGTCACAGTTTATACTAATCCCACTATATATGTTCATTTCTTTAAACCACAGTGTATTGTACATAAAGTGGGTTAGTGTGTGCTCGGTGTTGTGAAGAAAATGTTAACATTAAACAACAGATTATTTTTTTCCCAGACAGATAAATTGTACTAACCCAGTAATGAAAATATGGGGCTGCTGTGTAAAATGTAAATACATTCATCAATCATTAAAAAGATCAAATTTGATCAGCAATATGTTTCAAAACACCTGGGATGGGGCAACAAAAGGCTGGAAAAATAAGTGGTACTAAAATAGAAACATATGGAAGGACATTTTGAAAATAATTAGGTTACTTGACAACAGGTCAGTAACATGATTTGATATTAAAAGGGCTTCTTAGAAAGCAGAGTTGTTTTGAAGGAAATGTGGGCAGAGCTTGACCAATCTGCAAAAAACTCCATTAACAAATTGTGCAACAATTTCAGAATAATGTTCCTCAGTATAAAGTTGTGAAGACTTGAAATAGTTCATCCTCTACAGTCATCAAATGTTTCAGAGACTCTAGAGAAATTTCTCTGCAGAAACAATGAGGTTAAAAGTGATGATGTCAGTGATCTTCAAGTCCTCAGAGGAAACTGTATTAAAAACAGACATGATTCTAGTCACGGAAATCGGTGCATTTCCTGTATCTTTGGCGCAACAGACCTGAATCACTCTTTTAAAGAAGTACATGGTGGTGTTGCCAGGAATATCCATGATGGATGGCAGTTTGTTCAGTGACTTCCTCTCCACCACAGCTTCAGAAGTGCTGCCAATCACAGTGCTAGCTCTCCCGATCAGTTTTTCCAGTGTTTGTGTCACCAGCTCCAATCCAGCTCCCCAAAAAGATCAAAGCAAAGTGCACTGCACTCACCTCAATTGACAGAACATCTTAAACATTTTGGTGCACACAAGCTTCCATAAGAAAAACATAAGAAAAACAGCCTGCCCATACGCTTCTTGTATACAGCCTCTCTTTTAGTCTACCAATTCAGTCTGTTGTGTATATGTGGGGTGACCGTGGCTCAGGGGGTTGGGAAGCGTATCTGTAACCGGAAGGTCGCCGGTTTGATCCCCAGGCCCTCTGTCCTGGTCGTTGTGTCCTTGGGCAAGACACTTTACCCTACCGCCTACTGGTGTTGGCCAGAGGGGCCGATGGCGCGATATGGCACCCTTGCTTCTGTCAGTCTGCCCCAGGGCAGCTGTGGCTACAACCGTAGCTGCCTCCACCAGTGTGTGAATGAATAGTGGCATTGTAAAGTGCTTTGGGTGCCTTGAAAAGCACTATATAAATCCAATCCATTATTGTTATATGGTGTCCAGGTATTTGTACTTCTCCTCCACATCACATCAGGGGTTTCTGTGAGTTATACTTTTGTCATGATAATGCACACTGCCGATTTGTATCTACAGTTATCAGAAAGATAACTATGACCAAGATACTTTGATTATTTTTTTTATAACTTCATGTCATTACAGGTATGCTAGTTATTCAATGTACAATGCTGTGATGTCACACTCTCTGGTGTTATGTTCCAAATCCATGTAGACCTCCAGAGTACTCCAGAGTACTCTGACATCATTCAATTCAATTTTATTTATTGAGAAGGACATCTCCAGTTTACATTATTTTCTGTTCTTGAGATTACTTAAATAAGTTATCATAGTTCAGAAAACATGCAGACAAACACACGACCTTAAATTCCACCTCTTTTGTTTAGTTGAGATGTGGGTGCCCTCCACATACATATATTACTCATACAGGTCTGATTCCAAACTACATATCTGGTTTTTACACATGCATGTTTAGAGGGCAAAAGTATTCTTGAGGTGCTATTAATAATATTATTAAAATTAAGGGCTATGATACAGTAACATTACTTTAAAAAGAGCTAAACTGCTTTGGTAAAATTAGAGCACCAGCTGTCTATTATAATTTTTGAAAGTCTGCTAAAAATAAAAATAAAATTAGATTAACATCTGATTTGTGTGAGTGCATGTGTGAGTGGGGTGGGTGTTTTTTTTTGTTTTGTTTAATTTTTTAAACTTTTGTACATATTGACTACATTTTCTGAGTGCAGTGTTTGTATGGTTGTAATCATACACAGCATGTGAGCGAAGCACATTTTTAACAGAATAACTAAGTGAAGGGCTGAATGGCCCTTTTCAAAATTGCCGGTCTGGTTCATATAGTCTGAGACCTGCAAGATTTTATTTATCCAGGTAACTTTAGGGTGAACTCTGGGTTATCATGAAGGTGGTTCTTTGGTTTTTACCACACTACATCGCCATGGTAATGTATGATGCGAACCTTACTTACTCCGGAGAAGGTTATGAAATCCAGATTAGCAATCAACAGGTATGAAATCACGCTGACCAATCAATTCTCAAGAAAAGGTCTGCCTCCAAGTCTTTGTGTTTTTCTTGATGAGAATCAGTAGACACAAATTTATTCAATTTTCATGTTAGCTGCAAATAAGACAGGACAAGTGGCAGCAGAAAGCAGTAGTCCCTTATTGAGGTGTGCTGACTGCCCCACAGGCTTGGAGAGGAAGTGTGTCCATGCCATTACTACCCTGTGTCTATTTACTGCACATAAGGATTGGGTAAATAAGAGTGGTCCTGGAATTTGCATGTTATCCTTCTTTAGTGCAGTGGCTATGAATAAATATCACAAAATGGTGATTTCCAAGGGAATTCATACAATGAAAAAAATATTTTAGTCAATTTTTACCCACCAAAAAGTGCCATTTTTGTGTTGAGGAGACTGTGCCTTCACCAGGGAAGTCTCAAATGTCTCAGGAATGGGTGGACCAAAGACCCAAATTTACAGCGTCATTTTTTATTTATTTTTTTAGAAATGTTTTATTCTCGAATTCCTAACTTTTCAGTAATTTGGGGGCATTGCTTTAGGGTCCCCCCATGACACTTCTTTTTCATTTTGTTAGACATGAAAATAAAAGAAGACCACTCTAATTTGTCATCTGTTGTTATATTTTGATGTCAAGTCCTTTTTGTTGTTTTTATATTATATCGGGTAAAAAAAAATCACCCGGCGGTCGCTGAAGCTTTTCTGTAGCTGATGCTACGTGACAAGTTTGCCCTTGCTGTTCTTTGACTCACCTAACTCCTGGCTCTGAAGGCTTGCATTTTTCAACCTTAGGAGCATTTAAACCTGACCTGTGAGCCATGGTTTCTGATTGGCCCGGACAGTGATAGGCCTGGTGTCACGACCTGCAGGATCGGCAAGGTGCTGATCAGAATCTCTCCACTCCCAGCCCTCCTTCTCTTCTCTTTTTCCCTCTCTCTCCCCCTCTGTCCTTCTCTGCCCTGTTTTGCATGGGCGGAACTCATGGCGGCTTCAGGCCCTCGGTCCACGCCTTCCTGGATTGGGATCACCTGGGCCTCATCAGACCAGCTGGTATATTAGAAGGAGGATATCAGCTGATCAACGCTGAATTGTTGTGAAGGCTCTAGTCAGTACATGTCTAGCTCAAGTTTCCTGTGCCTCTGTCTCAGAGACTTAACAAGTGTTTCTTTGTTCCTAGATTCCCCGTGTTTCCCCGTGTGGAGTGTGGAAGGAGTGACTGGTCGCTAGCGGAGAAGAGAGAGGTTGAACTGAGCACGTGTGTGATTTCCCCTTTTTCCCTGGAGCCCTGCCCCTCACGTCTTGTATATAGCACTAACCCCCACACTGTCTGTACGTACACTTGGTGAAGATCTGTAAACAAACCATCTCTATTTAAACGCTACTCATGAGTCCTGCGAGTGGATCCTCTAAGCAACCCGTGACACCTGGTCTCTGTGACATCATCGATGCATTTTGGGATG